GATGGAACTCTTCCTGATTCTCGTCTGTCTGATCGCGCCGCCCACCCTCTCGCTCTCGATCAAGAGCAAGCTCAATCCACGGATCGTTCAGACGCGCTACGGCGAGGTGCAGGGGCTCGTACGCTCCTTCGAATACGCCAAGTTCCTCAAGCCGATCGACGTCTATCTCGGGATACCGTACGCGACCCCTCCGATAGGGGGCAACAGATTTTCGCCGACCAAGGCGTCCAGTCCGTGGGAAGGAGTCAGGTGAGCGCAATTGTATATAATTATTTATTTATTTATTTATTTTTTAATGTATCTTCGGTTAGTAGAATAGAATGTAGTCTTCGAAGTCGCTGAATTGAAAGCTTTGATAATTAACGAGGAGACGGGAAAGGTACTTGGAATGTTCGATGACGATGATTCGATAAGAAGATCGAATAATTTGGAACGATGAATTTCTTTGATAGAAACTCGAATTCGAATTCGCGTTGCTCTTTTACACTAGGCTAGGAATCTCGGTAAAGTGAACGAAACGGTAGTTGAAACAAACCTGTTGTTATTTCGCATTTGATATTCAAGGAAGCCTAAAATTTTGGAAGCGTAAACTTTGATTTCCAAAGAACATTCCGTAGATCCTTTTAACTCCCTCTCTCTTCCTCCCGAAACCTCGAACGTATTTCATCGGCATATTTCTCGCGAAGTTATGTCAAACTGCTCCTTTGAAATTCGCCCAAGTATTTAACGTATCCTTTCATACGTCCACCAACCTGTCATCTGGATAGGACTCGGATTAAAAAATTAAAACTCGGGTAGAATGAAAAATGTTGGCGAAGCTAACATTTTCTGTCTCTCTTTTTTTTTTTTTTTTTTGGTTTTTTGTTTTCTTTATTCCAACCGATGATTTTGAAAAATATGATGGGAAGGGGAGAAAGACGGGGAAAAATTTCGTGGACCGACGTTTCCCAAAATTCGCCAAATGCAGGCTTTAGAATATTTCGGCAGAGTTGGCGATCCTCTTCTGCTTCCAACGACTCTTTTCTCGCTCCATGCTGGCGAAGCAAAAACGGAAACACAATTATACACGACCTTAATCTCCATATATTACGAGTCGGAGGGACAAAGGTGCTCGTAACGCAATACACTCGGAACACATAATTAACTAAGCACGGAGTACTTGGCGGCTGGTCGTCAAGAACAGAATATTCTCAAAGCGCATTTTTTCGAAATTTCAAACGCACGCCACTCGCGATGAATCAAAAATTTGGCTCAAGGCTTTCTCTTTCCCCCCGGAAGACCGACTCGTTTTTACAAAATTAAATTTCATATTTCCAAGTACTTTTCTCCACTCATTGCCTTAAACAATCTCGATATATCCGCCGTTAAAAAGAAAAAGGAAACGATTAATATACATAAACAATTTTTTTTATATCTCTTACTTCATAATTATTACTTTTTTCATCCTTCGTATTTTAAAAATTTTTATCTCAAACGAAGAAACGAGTTAATCGCGTGATAAGTCGAAGATGCGTCTATCGAGGACTTCGTTCGAAATTTCATTTCGCAGTGGATCGATGTGAAATCTTTCTTTGTAGGTTATCGGATTCGGTCGGTCCAGTCTGTCCTCAAAAGCTGCCCGACATCTCAAATGAGCAAGAGGCGTTAGAGCGTATGCCGAAGGGTCGGCTCGAGTACTTGAAGAGATTGCTACCCCATCTACGAAATCAGAGCGAGGATTGTCTCTACCTGAACATCTACGCGCCGGCCATGGGTGAGTAATTTCTACACCGAGGAAAAATTACCGACCTCGATTAAGCTCCTCTACTCGTGCTGCCACGTTGATACCAGTTCGAGCGAAGAATGTGTATTCGAGATACAAATAGTTAAACGGCTGATGTTGAAAATATGAAAGGATGGAATGCGGCCAGCATTGGATAAATTTCGCGAGAGATCGTCTGGTCAGGTGATTTGGTTAGACCGAATCGTTTATGGAATTTTATGGAAAAATTAATAATAATTGGATGGACTCGATTCGAAATGGTATTTCATCTCTTGTTGTAAAAATTCTTGATTCTAGTCAACGGATGGAACGGAAATACTTGATTTCTATCTACTGATTCGTGTATACTAAGAAGTAGAATAGGGATGTCGGATCAATCTCGAAGATATATTCGATCTCGATTCACACGCATTCCGGGAGCCAATAGGATGGAAGGAAATTATAAACGAAGCGCGGAGACTCTGAAAAATCCACTTTATACGCGGAACGATCGTGAACGAACGCGCCGTTTTAATATTAAGCATACTTGTCGATGTCGAATAGCCAAGTAGCTCGGTCGTTCCCTCTCCGTTGTAACTTTCTGACCCCGTTTTCTTCCATCCGAGCTACCGTGATATCAGCAAACATGGCAAAAAACACATAAAACTAGATTTCATGCGGCCGTGTTCAACGTAACTTTTTGCATACCTCATCGTGGTTGCTGTTTCATTGATAGCGTTCCTTCCAACGAGAAAGAATCTTTTAATCTAATTTTTTTTTTTTTTTGAAAACTTTTTAATATAGCTCAATTTTTTTCCCTCCTCTCCAAAAATATATATATTTTTCCAAAGTCGATAAACTTCGAGGGATATTTCGCGAAATGTATTAATCCTCGACTTTTTTAGCTCGACGTTTTTCCTTCGGTCAAATACATGTCAAATATTTATCCGTGCCAGATTACAAGTTTCATCAAGGAACAAGAATCGAGAGCCTTATGCGATATACAACATTTCTTTCTCTCGTGAAATCTCTCTGAGAGAAGATATTCTCGTTGTTAAATTTATAAAAAAAGACGCGATTTATAAAAAAAAATTGCGTGTTTGAAAATCGTCCTCTTCTTTAAAATATTACTTGTTTATTAAATAATTAAAACCGCCTTATCCTTATGTAGGTCACGCAGGAGGAGAATTTTTATTTTTACAGACACATTATGAAAAATCGTGGCGTATGTAGGCGACATTCGAGTCTTGAACCTTGTTTTTTAACGTTTTTCGCGCAATGTTATTTCTCTGTGCCTTACGTTGCAAGGCAAGAGACGGTTTCAATAATAATACATCATGACGTTTTCCCCACGAAATAGGAAATTTTATTTTTTCGCCTTAGACTCGCTCTCGGCCCACCCACGTGTACCCCGTTTTTCTTGCACCCTCTTTCGGGCCGGAAATTGAATGGCAAAAGCGTCGAGGAACGCTGCTACGTTTCGTCTTGCGAGATACGCGTACACGTTTCACTGTATTTTTGACAAAATAAAGAGGGGAGAAGGGAAGAGAAATGGAAAGGAAGTATTTTTCTAAACCAGATAAAAATGCATCGTCTTTTCGTTTCTATTCTATCGTTTAATCTCCACCATCGTATCGAGCATCAAAATGAGCAAAACTAACGTTGAAAAGTGCGTTAATGTCACTCGTGTGAAGATACTATCAAATGACGAGACAATTTACGAAACGATATACGTAAATATTTTTTTCCAACCGCTCTTAACCGAGAAAATATACACCAATGATTTTATCATATTACTAACCTATCGTCATCGCTCTATCCGGTAATATTTGTTATACACGAAACAATTCACAGTTCAAACAGGACGCCAGTATTCCCGAAACGCGCTTAATCGTTAGACAACTAGTTAGCAAACTACCCCCTCGATCAACTCTATTCCGTTATCAGCTATTCCACGAACTAATTTATCTCCGTGTTGCGAATCCACCCAGGAATAGAGACCGCCGTTGCTTCTCGAAAAGCATGATGCACGATATTTGAGCGATGGTGCTCGTTGGAGAGAGAAGAAGAAGAAGAAGAAGAAGAAGAAAAAAAAAAAAAGAAAGAAAAAAAACGAAAAGGAAAAAAAAAAAGAAGTGTAGTGGAGGAATTGCGGAGGGTTAGCAAGGGAACGAGCGAAAGAAAGCACTACAAAGCGGCTATAGAGGGTTGTGCATCGAACATTGTGCGGTACAACCCCTCCTCCCTATGGGATCCGGGTCAAACCGTTTTCATCTCTTTCGTGTATCGCGGGCTGCACGTTCGCGTTTCGACAATGAAACATCGTACAGACGTAAATGTAAGCCGGAATAGGAAACCAGAACACGCTACTCTGCAAGTCTGCGCGCGAGCGTGACTACCTGGTGCCGGGGCAGCTGTCCAGAATGCGAAACTGTCGCGGATGTTCTCCCGCTCCTGTCTGGGATCCCCGCCTACGTTCTCCGATTGAAAAATAGTTTGCCGCCCGATACACCCCCTCTTTCTTCACCGATCGTGATACGTCATAAACCGAATCTCGATTATTCCCTCGAATAAATTGTACAATTTCTAAGAATCGCTTCGTCGTCACTTTCGTTCGACAAAGGGGAGGATTATTAACTCCTGAGTTTGTCGTTAACAATAATAGTAACGGTATTGTTATTTTCGTCGAATCGAATTCGTGGGTGGAATCGAAGTTGGAAGAAGAAGGAGGGAAGCGTTATATTCTCCTTCGAGAACGATAATGGACAAACCTGATCCCGTAATTCCCGATGGTGAGCGCGACGATCGCGGCAACGGCGAAACAATTTTCGATCCGGCTGACGTTTAATAATGCAGAAGCGATGCACGGCTTGTTTACAAACAGGGCGGCGCATACAGATCGGTGGGAAATTTAGCGACAACGAAAGAGCTGTCGCTGTGAGCTCTTAACATTCCGCTCTGGATACGCCGTTTCCCGCAATCCATATAAAAGATTCAACGTGGATCGCCGCTTCGATTCGCGTAGTCAGCGAAACGGCGGGGTGATTTTATCGTCACCTCGTCGTGAAATTTTATTCCTCGAATGCATCCTCCTCCTCCTCCTCCTCATCATCATCGTCATCGTCTCTTTTCCTTTCCCTCGAGCCCCAAGATTTAACGAGACGAAGCTCGATCTCGAGATCTTGGATCGATCTTTCGTTTATATTTCCGATCCAGATTGGAATCGAGTCAACTCGATTAATCGGGACACGCTTAAGAACACTAGAGGCCGATCCGACATCCAAGGACACGATCTCAATTGGCAGCGATGACAAGAGGGATTACAGAGCGGTTGATTCTACTCAGAGGTCGGGAAGACGTAGGCTCTTAGCATTACACGTGTTGAGTGGGTCGAATCTGGTGTACGCGTGTATAGAACTCGATCATCTTCCGATGTTGGACGTGTCTTGAGAAGCTCCCTCGACCATCAGGATTTCCATTCACGGGGAAGATGGAATATCGATACCGAGTATCGGATACAAAAGAAAAAAAAGAGAAAGGACGAACACGTGGAGACTCGTCGTTTGCTCGTACAAACCGTGGCATCGAATTTTTTGGGAGAGGAAGTAAAAGGAAGATTCGTTGGGTATCTGTGCTCGATGCAGGAGAATGGGCGAATGATTCGGATGAAATTGTAAGACAGAGGAGAGCGAGGCCATCAAACGCGAAAGGAACCGAAGGAATTCCCTGAATATTTTACACATCTCCCGTCTTCTCGCGCGAACTTTCGTATTCAACTTGGCTCACCTCCTTTCAATTCTCGCCGGGGCTTGTATACTTTTCAGTCGAACCGGTTTTATGGTTGATCTATCGTCGAACCGGATCCACTTGAATATCTATAAGATTGATCGTATATCCCGAATATCCAGTATGCAATCCGTATTGTAATTCTTAAGGAACTATAACGTCTCTTCTCGTTTAATATTCGAGACAACGATCAGTAACTTATCCATTAGACGAACGATGACACGAATGAGAGAAACTGGTGAGCTAGTAAACGAACGAGCTTAACTTAGTCGTTAAAAAAGAAAAGAAAAAAAGGAAAAAAATTCTTTTATCTCGTCGATTCGAGCATTAGCGATAGAGGCGTTAAATCAATTTTCGCCGATTATTTATCATTCGAGGGGGGAATTGGGCAGCCAACAAGTTCCACGCACGCCCCGTCGTAAAACAAATTTTTCTCCTGCGAAGAGTGATGGTAGGGTGGCTCTAATAACGTCCATTCGTTTTTTCCATCAAGACAATCGGGGCCAACGAAAATAATTCAACGCTTATAAATCTCTTCGTGTTGATGCCCCCTCTCCCCTAATAATTAATAAAAATGCGAGATTAATTATTAAAAAGAAAGAGAAGGAGATCAGTTCGGACTACATCGGCATTGTTCCTTTCCTTTTATTCAACGTGTAACGATCAACGAGGAAACACATATCCTTTGTGAGAGCAGAATTTCCAATCTCTGACAGATTAAATTTAAAAACGATCAATGGGTCCAACCTTTGAAAGTAAAATTTCCTCTCTCTCTCTCTCTCTCTTTTTCTAGGAGAGAATATATTTTAAATCCCGAAATTAACTGGATACTTAACTGGATGCTTAAGAGTAAAGCGTCATCGTTTGATACAATTATTTATGCAGAAAGGGGTGTTAAAAGGCATCGAATCTCGAGCCATTAAACTTCTATCCCTTAGTGAATTCGAAACTAGCCGTCCCGATTCCGATCAAAAATGAGCAAGTCATGTCCCCGTTTCATTATCAATGATTCTGTTTTATTAATATCATGGAAACTTTGTAAGAAATTACATATATACAGAATGTTCGACAACTCTATTGTATTCGACGTATTTCTAAAAATCTAATATTTCTAGAAAAAAGATCGAATAGGAAAAAGAAAAGAATATTATTCTTATTCTTTAAACACATCTTATTGAATCATCCTCCAAACTCTGTATATATATATTCAACTCTTTCAAACAAGC